TGCAGGTCTCTCCCTCCTTTCGCCACCCCTACCTTCCTTGCCTCTTCCCTGTCTCCACCACTGAGCTCTCTGGGCCTAGAGGCTGGAGTTTCCCTCCACCTCAAGCTTCCAGAGCTTCTATCATCCGCAGGCAGCTCATGGCCCCAGGTAATCATGCCGCCGGGAGACCCGATTCGCTTCTCTTCTTGCCTGCAGCTTGATGTCGCTCTCTCGGAGCACCAGCCCGCGTTCCTGCACACCCTGCTCCGGGCGGGGAGAAGGCCCAGGGAGTGCTTCCCAGGCGGGTGGGGGGGCTGTGTCCTGAGTGAGGGGAGCTCAGGCTCCCCATCAGCCTTCCGCCACCCCCTACAGCTCCCCCCATCCTTGACTTCTCAGAATCAGGCCGAGGAGATCCTGTCTGGCCAGGGTGGGTGGTTACCAGAGCCTGACCGCCCCCGCTCTCCGCTCATCTCCTGCTCCCAGGGCCCAAATTGTCGTCACTTTCCCAGTGAAGTGTCTGGTCATTTTCAGAAGCAATTTCAGGAGAATATGCAGCTGCTGTTCCCCATCCTGCTTTCCTTCCCCAGGGCTGAAGTCACTGTCAGCTCTCTGGACTGGGGAGGGGAGCGGGGGGAGGGCTGGAGGCCCTGTCCCCCTCCTGTCCTCCTTCCAGCAGTCATGTGGACTGATGCTGGTCTGAGGAAGCGTGAGGGTTCCTCTCCTTTACTCTCCCATCCCTCCCTCCCGTGTTTCCTACTCTGCCTCTCTTCTCTTCTGGGGCCGAGGATTGTGCGTTTTCACCCCCGGAAGCCTCCGGGGGCTCCGTTGCCCCACCTGTGCTATAGGGCTTGAATTGGCTCCATCAGGACGGGAGAAGCTGCGGTTCCGCTGCCTCCCTGCACGGCCAGCTCAGCACTCTCGAAGTCTGGGTGGTTTCTCTGAGGGGCACAAGCCGGCCTGGAGGCCGCTGGCCCCCATGAGGAGCCATTCTAGCACCTCAGCTCACAGCAGCTCTAGCGTGGCCTTCCTGGCCCAGCCCATCTGCTCTGCAGGCTGCTGGGGGCTCCTCCAGCTCTTTGCTGGGGGCCGGCTCCCAGCTGTCGCCTGGCTGCAGGACTGTACAGGACACAGAAGCGGCCACCCTCCCATCCTTTCCTGGTGTCTCTGCCCCCGGTCCTTTACGGCCCGGCCCCTCCCCGCCAACCCCGCAGCACCTCTCCAGAAGGTTGACAAAGTCGCCATGTTGCACCCTAGCCGTGCATGTGGCAGACATATGTGGGTCATCTTGCACACACAACACACGCTCGTCGGCCCCGGGAACGGCCGACAAATGCCGTCTCCTCTCAACACACATTTTCCTGGCCTCATCCCCAGCCCACCCCAGCAACAAAGAGAGGGAGCTCCAGAGGGAGGACCTGCTAGGGACCCCGCTCCTCTAGGCCAGTGATGGCTGTCCAGGATGTGGCTCAAACGGAAAGTGTCAAAGGGAAAACCACCTAGGCACTCTGGAGCTGCAACACGCACTTTACATGCCATTTGCACATGGCATGTGGGCAAGATGAAGCCCTGCCTGCCCCAACCCTTCAAAGCCTCCCTCCTTCCTCACCTCTCTGGCTTAGTTTAGCATTAGCTCTTTCAAGTCTCTGCTAGTCCCAGAGATCAAGGAGTGATCAGTTCTCCCTGCCATGCCCTTGCTCCCCCCATCCTTGGCTCCTGCCATCCTCTGTGAGATGCTGCATCATCAAAGGACATTATTCATGGTGGACCTTTGCTGAAGCCCTGCTTCCCTGGTGCCAGGGCGCGGAGGCAGGGATGGAGGGGTGGGGGGTGTGGAGAGAGGCTGCCTCGGAGATTGGACCCAGGAGGCTTTAGTCCTGAGCCCTCGGTCTAACACTCCTCCTCCTGCTCCGCGCCCCCTACCCTGGTTCCCTCCAGCCTGCCTAGCCTGGACTTCCTTCTCCAGACTGGTAGGGGGAAGAGAAGAGGTAGGAGATGGCTGCATCCAATTAGGATCAGTGCCTGAGCTTCTCAAACGCATGAACCTGCCATGCCATTTATAAGTAAATAGGCTCCAGCTTCTACCCTTCATCCCACCAAAGGCTCCTAACCCTGGGTCCTGGCCCATGGTTGGCCCATACAGCGCTGTAATTACCTGGATAATGGGAAGCTTTAAATGAGGCCCCACTAGCCTTTCACGTAATAAAGGGGCCTTGAGACCCAGCTGCTGCCCTCACTCAAGGGTGAAAGTGGGTCCATGTGCAGGCAGAGTGACTTCTCTCAGTACGGCGCAAGTCCCAGGGTGGGTGGGGTGTTGGGAGCGTGGAGTGGGAGACGAGCATTTCAGGACCCTAGCAGCACTTGAGATGCTCTATGGAGGAGCCACACTGTGGGCTGCAATGCAAGAAGGAAGCCTGAGGCTTCCTTTTTTGTTGTATAAATAAATTTTTATTGAGCACCTGTTATATGCCAAACACTACAGAGCTAGGGATCCAATAGTAAACAAAACAGACAAAAGTCCTTGCCACTGTAATGTGGACATTCTGGTGGGGGGTGGGGCAGACAGGCTATAAGTGAAACATTTAGTGTATGGGATGTAATAACTGATGAAGAGAAGAAACAGAAGGGAGATATGGAGTGTGAAAGGGTGGTCATTTTAAGTAGGGTGGCTGGGGAAGGCGTTGGTGAGCGGGAATCTTTGTAGTAAATACACAACGGCTGTGGTTCTCCTCACAACCCAGTTGGAGAAGGGTGCAAGGTCCCAAACCTCCGGGGCCCTCAGAGAGCGGGACCACCACTCCCTCTGGGAGAGTTAACTGCTCCCTCACTGGTCAAAGTTCATACCAGTGCAGTAAAACGAAGGGGAGGTTTGGAGTGAAAAAAAAAAAAAACAACAACAACCAACCCCGAATTTGTGGCTCTTCTTCAGTAGCTGTATGTCGTGGAGCACAGGGATTGAACTTTTTTTTTTTAAGATTTTTTTATTTTTAAGTAATCTCTACGCCCAATGTGGAGCTCAAACTCACGGCCCCGAGATCAAGAGTCACATGTTCTCCCGACTGAGCCAGTCGGGTGCCCCAGGACTGAACTTTTTGAGCCTCAGTTTCCTCCCCTGAAAAATAGGAAATGCTAAGAGTGACAAATGGCTCTGAAGCTGCTTTCACTCCGCCGGCTCCCCCACACACGCCCCCACCCCCGCCCCATTCCCTTGAGCAGCATCTTCTGTCTCTGGTTCTCCTTCCATCCCAACTCTGACTCTGCCCCTCCCCTGGGGCTCCACCTTGGCTATGATGTGAGCAGCATGAGCTCCTTCAATAGAGTGGGGAATGAAGGAGAGGCTGGGGAGAAGATGCCTGGCTGCAGGGAAGCCGATTAGAGAGGGGAAAACATGTAACTGTGAGAAAAAAGAAGCAATTAAGAGATCAGTGCTGGGCTGGGCCGGGCCAGGGAGAGGACTGGGTGGCGGGGGGGGGGGTGAGAGCTCGGCCACCGTGTTCTGTTGCTCCTTCCCGAGATTCTAGCAGGAGGGATAGAAGTTAGAACTCTGGAAGAATGCAACTAAATCAGGCTGATTCAGGGGTCGAGAGGGAGTGGCGGGTGGGGTGGCGGGGAGAGGCAATAGCACTGGTGAGGGGGTGGAGGGAGGCAGACCCTGGAAGTTTCTGCATTAATAGCAGGGGAGAAGTGCTGACCCTCAGTGGGTCTGAGGACCAAGGTGATGGGTCAGCTGCAGCTAGAAGGAGGACAGAGGGAGAAACGAGGATGGCAAGGGATGCCAGACTCACCTCCCACTGCTCAGGGGCCTGAGTCTGGTTGTTCCCGGGGGTGTGGGAGGGCCAGAGAAGCACCTGCCTGAGATGCTTCTGGCCTGGCAGTTGAGTCTGAAGGTTTAAAGGGCAAGGAGCTGGTGGGTGAACAATGAGGAGAAGGAGACTCAGGGACCACACCTACTGAGCTAGGTCCAACATGGACATTTTGGTACAAAACATACACATCATTCCTTAGTGTGTCCAGCTCAGGGGCTGTTGAGAAGTGGGCTGCTGGATAACACACTGCAGGTTTGTGGTGTGTGTGTGTGTGTGTGTGTGTGTGTGTGCGCGCGCGCGCGTGCGCGCGCACACGCTCGCACGCGCCTGCAGCCTATATCCTCCTTTTTCTCCACCAGCCTCCCCCCCTCCCCTCCAGCCACCCTGGGATTGGTGATTCGCAGCCCCTCCCCCAGCCCCCCAGACCCCCCCAGAGCCTTTATCTGGGAGCTGGCCAGGAGTTCCTGCCACATCCTCAGATCCCCTCCACTCCCTGTCTCTCTCTCCCCGCGGAGGCAGCAGCAGCACCACCAGCGTGTGTTTGTGGTGGGGGAGTGGGCAGTGCTCCCAGCCAGCTCCCTGATCCTGTTAGACCATCTGCCCTAGGCTCAAGGCTGCTCCACAGGTAGGCACGAGTGGGAGGATGTTGGATGGACTGGAGCTGGCACCAAAGGACAGAGGGGAGAGTTAGGAGGGAATAGGGGACCGGAGGGAATAGAGGTGGCAGCTTTTGATCTCGGAACAGGGTGCGGGAAAGGGAAGCAGAAAGCGCTCATAGGGGTTGAGAACCAGTAATGTTTGGAGCCCGTGGGTTCAGACTGATTCTTCCAATACTAGAAAGTTTTGCCTAAGTCTTGGGTTATCTGGTGCTGGAAACTAGAATCCAGGATCCCTCCTTAAGCTAAGAAGGCAGACCTGTGCATGTCCTACGAATCTATCATCCTCTTGTGGGGACTAGTCTGGCACTATTGCAACATTGCTCATTGCCAGGTGCTCAATGTGGGGAGATGTGTGATGGGGGAGCAGGGATGCTGAGCCCAAGGGCTGGCCGTCCTGCCCAGAGATACTCTCCCCGGACCAGCGCTTAGATGGGAGAGTTGGGGGCTGGGGAAGCAGGGTCAAGACAGGCTGCGGGTCACAGAATGTCTCCTGCATCTGCACGCGTGTTGTATCCTTCTCCCCTGGTTTCTGTCCTGTCGCTCTGCCCTCCTAGGCACCATGCGGAGGGCCCTGCTGTTTGCAGCCATTCTGGCCATCAGCCTGGCTTACAGTTTTGGGGCTGTCTGTGAGGACTCACAGGAGCAGGTGGTGCCTGGTGGGGGCCACAACAAGGTAAGGCACCCCGTCTAGCTGAGCCCGCCCTGGCGGGGCACTGGGCTACATCACAAGAGCCGACACTGCCTGTTCCACAGCAGTTGAGAGGAAGGTGGGATGGGCACGCTGGGAGTTAGCTGGGTGATCCATCAGAGGGCGGGTTTCCCTGCCTCTCTGGTGGTCTCATGTTCTCACTGTCTCTAGGTATGTGTATAAGTGTCTCAGTCCCTCTGAGTGTCTTTGATAACCCTGTACCTAAAAAGTGCCCTACTAGTATGTTGTGCGGTTGGTTGATTGACCGGTGGCTTGGGGGGTTGGATCCTGGAGGGGTAAGCTAGGGTGGTCCTGCTCAGTTTCTGTCCTTTCGCAGGGGGGCAGATCCTCCCCACCCCCTGGATAGGATGACATGCAGTCGGAAATTCTCTCCCAAATGGTCATTTGTATGCTATTTTACCTATCAGTTATGTATATTATTTTGTTTTCAAAATTCAAATAAATTCCATTATCCCCTGCTCATCCACCCCCAGTAACATCAGGTTCTCCTAAGACCCCAATCCTTTCTTTCCTTTCTCTTGCCCCCACTTTAGCCTCTGCTTACTCAGGATAGGGGGCAAAATCCCCACAACACAGACTGAGCTCAGATTTCCAAACTTTCTCTATGAAAAAGAACAGGAGTTGTCAGTGATGGGGTACAGGGGGAGAGCAGGGAGGAAGTCTTTTCAGGGTTTTGAAATGACAGCAATTACATTAGTACACATGCTTTTAAGATGATTATAGATGGAACTTATTACAAATTCACTGTGTGAAGTCTAACTCCCTCTCCAGCTCAGATCTGTTTAGCATCTCATTACAGGAGGTGGGTAGAATATTTGAACAATTTGGGAAAAGTGGCTGCCTAGGAAGCCATGTGCAGGGCAAAGAGAGAAATCAGTCTTCATCCATACGTGTCCCAAGGCACAAGAGGCTAGCAGCCTTGCAGGTGGTGGCCGTTGGACCAGATCCAAAAGACCAGAATCTCTTCAAAAATAGAAAAAATAGGTACGCCTCGGGGGCTCAGTCGGTTAAGCTCCCAACCTTCGGCTCAGGTCATGATCCCAGGGTCTTGTGATCGAGCCCTGTTTCAGGCTCCCTGCTCAGCAGGAACCCTGCTTCTCCCTCTCCCACTCCCCCTGCTTGTGTTCCCTCTCTCTCTGTGTCTCCCTCTCTCTCTGTCAAATAAATAAATAAAATCTTAAAAAAAATAGAAAAAATCAGGGCGCCCAGCTGACTCTGTCGGTAGAGCATGCAACTCTTGATCTCGGGGTTGTGAGTTCAAGCCCCACATTGGGTGTAGAGATTACTTAAAAATAAAATCTTTTAAAAAATACAAAAAATACACAAGGAGTGCCGAATATGGGCTGGACACTATGTTTGGAGCCAAAAGTTCCAATTGGAGATAGAATACCTGGAAAAATTTTTCTAAGACAAGCTTGCTTTAAGACGTTTACCTCTCAGTCAATGAAAGGGAGAGATTGCCATCCCATCCCTTCTCCCCGATGGTCTGTGAGGAAGAGGGAAATTGGGGTGAGGCGAGGATAGGATATATGTGTCCCTAGGCAACCGGGTTGTTATGTGCAGGGGGTGCATCCCATGTGAATGTGCTCTGTGTGTGTTCAGCAGCCCAAGGACATCTGGGCTCGTCGAGAGAGAGAAGGGCCGCTGAGACTCAAGGTGAGACTCTCCAAACATGATCATTGTCATTGTCTCTCTGCACCTGCAATTAACTGGCTGTGTGGTGTGTGCCCACCAACCATCTGCTGTGCCCAAGTTGCTAAAAGAAAAATCACCAAGGCAATGAAGGGCCCCTGCCTGGGAGCAGGTCCAGAATGGGGTTCATTTGTAGGGGAGAAGAGGAGTCATTCTGAACACGCAGTCTTTCAAAAATTCCAAATTCAGTATAGAAAGGAGAGAGGGAGAGACAACCAGAGGCAGAAACCTATGGAGAAGAAAAGAGAGGTGGTGGGAACTATAGGGAGACAAACATCCACCACAAACATGGCGCAGGGTAGGGGGATTTCAGGATTGCCACTGAGCACTGGCTGCCTACCTACACCCATCCCAAGGACCGAGGCCTGTCTGTGACTCCATCATGGAATACAGAGGACACCTGCTCTGAGTGATGGGGCTTTCTTGGAATTCATGGCTCACTCACCTAGTGGGGCAATCATATCCTGGGGCGAACTGGTTCCTGATGTGCCAAGGAGAACAGAACCAAGGGCCCTTCTCACTGAGAGGTGGCAGTAGTTGGGAGAGAGCCCCGAGAGACAGTCCCCTTTGAGCCTGGGAGATATAGTGACCAACTGTCCCAGTGTTCCCAGGACCACCAGCTTAAGCCCTGAAAACCCCACATCTCAGGAGACCACTCAGTCCCAGGCCAACCAGGACAGTTCGTCTGCCTCCAGGGATGCCCAAGGTGCTCCCTTTTCCAGGGCTTCTCAAATCTTGCCATGCATACCAATCAGCTGGGGGCCTGGTTACAATGCAGGATGTCTCAGTAGGTCTGGGGTAGGACTGAGAGTAAGACACTGTATTTCTAACAAGTCTCCAGCGGTGATGCTCCTGATCCATGGACGACACTTTGAGAGCCCACTTCTCTTCCAGTATAAACCAGAAGAAATTCCAAAAGATACAGGATGTCAGGTTCAGCTGTGATGAGCTCAAGAAGAGGCTGTCCTTTGTGCAGAGGGGCGAGTGGATTAGGTTTGAGCTTCCTGCCTCAGCCCTCTTTGTTTCTGTCCCTTAGAAGGACTCGAACCTCTACCAGTTGCCCTCGTCCTTGCTCCGGAAACTCTATGATGGCCGCTCAGTCTCTCTGGATGGATTGCTCAAAATGTTGAGCAAGGCTAGCGTGGGTAGGAAGCAGCCCTGGGGAGAGGGGGTGGGGGGCAGAATTCTGATGATTAAATAGGCTTGGGAGGAGCCTTCGGGTGGGACGGAGACTGGAGATGGCTTGGTGAATAATTGAGGGTTGTGCTCTGAACCTCTTCTGACCGTCACTTTCCAGATTCCATTCCCCACTGACACACTGTTCTTGTTTTCACAGATCCTAAGGAATCGCCACTTCCCCAGAAACGTGAGTAGCGTCTTCTCCCTCCCTGTCTCTGCTGACCGCATGCTACAGTTCCATGGGCATGGGTTTCAGTGACTATTCTGGCTGGCCTCATTTCAGCTGGCCCAAACAATATGCCAGCTGTAACTGCTCAACCAGACTTTCCTGGGCGTGATGGGTCACTGGGAACCAGGAGGAAACAGGTGTGAGGAGCGCGATGGACTCTCCCTCCATCAGCTGGTCACTGGGAACCAAGAGAATCTCTTGGTGGCTGTGAAGATTCTAAGCCAGGCACCTGTGGGAACAGAGAATTCTTGAAATGTGGAGGAGGGAGAGGTGGGCAGAGAGAGTAGGCTTAGGGGACAGCCTGCTAACTGGGGAGTCAAGCTGTGGCATGATAAAGAACCAAAGACCAGAAACCCAAATTCAGAAGTCTTGACACATGTCTAGGGGAATGCATCCCCATACCCCCACCACCCCCATGATCACTGTTGGCAATGTTGGCCTTTTTTCTACAGGTGACATGCATGACTTCTTTGTGGGACTTATGGGCAAGAGGAACATCCAGCCAGGTAGGAGTGTGTGGAGGTACAGTGGGAAGGTTTAGGGTACTAGCAAAGATATGGCAGAAGTCAAGAGCCTCATATTTGTCACCAGAGGGAAAGGCAGGACTTCTCTTAGCTATAGTGAGGGTTCTTCGGCCCTTCTACCCAGTCAGGTTGGATCCACAGTCCAGCTCTCCCAGGGAACACAATGGGGAGACCTTTATAAGATAGTCCTGCTGTAGCTGGGAAGGAGTTGGGGGGGCTGTCCTTCCTCCCCATCTCCCAAACACAGTGTGCCTCTTCTTCCCAACTCTGTCTTCCAACACTGCCCTTAATGGCTAGCGTTTTGCTGTTGGGTCAGGGTGAAGGTCACATTCAGAAAAATCCCTCCTAACTACACTGTTTACTTTACCCCAGACACTTCTATTGATGTAAACCAAGAGAATGTCCCCAGCTTTGGCACCCTCAAGTATCCCCCCAGTGTGGAATGAGGTAAGGATTGTTGGTTAGGAAGAGGAGAGGGGACTCGGTGTGTGTGTGTGTGGAGGGGGGTTGCCAAAGAGGCATTTCCTCTGATGCTACAGGTATTAATACTCATAAATTTGCCCTAAAATGCACTGTCAGTGCCCAGCACACTGTTGATCAAACACACCATCACTCAGAGGTGCATACTTGTCTGTAAGAACACGTGCACACATGCACACACATGCACGCATGCGTACCCCACTTTCCATCTCTTTCCCCAGTATCATGGACCCTGGCTAACTCTTGAGCAGGCGTGGGTGGTGGGACATGGGGAATGAGGGGTTTCCCCTGTGGCTTCTCTGATGGTCAGCTTCTGTCATTCGGGTTCTGTTCTCTCATTATCTGTATACAAGATGGAGGGACCATCATCTGATAATTGCAGGCACAACGTCCAACTCAGGTGAAGTGTTCTGCATCCTAGGTAGGCAAAAACCACTCATCATTCAGAATCTCAGGTGACTGGGTCTAGTGTGTAATTCTTCACAAGGGTGATTTAGGAAGAAACGCAAGGGACTCTGAAATTTAATGGGGAGTATCTAGAAACCATTATCTTAGTTGCTCTGTGTGGCATAATGGCTAAGAGCATAGCCCGAGTTTGAATCCTGGATCTGCAGCTCACTGGCTGTGTCCCCTTGGCCAAGTTACATAACCCTCTGTGCCTCAGTTTCCTCATCTGAAAAATGGGGGTGATAATATTATTTTGCAGGGTTGTGGTTTTGAGGATGGAGCATAGATAGTGTTTGGAACAGTGCCTGGCACATAGTATAGTGCTGTGTGTTGGCTGTGTTACGATTATTGTGGTCTGGGAGGTGTGGGTCATGTCCCAGTGTTCCCCCTGGCTGGCTCTGGTCTGTCTGCTTTAGAGCTGTCTGGGCTGGACCCCGGGCTTGAGTGGGCTGACAGATCTCTCACTTGGTATGCGAGTATGAGAGTCCCCAGGGAAGCGTCTAGTCAAAACATGGAAACTTCCATCTCAACCCCATCTTCCCCCACACAGCAATAGCAGCCCAATGGATGGTTTTCTTTGCATTAGCTTCTGAAGAAAGACAGTGTGGGGGGAGATAAAGAGAGAGGTTGGGAAGCCTATATTACCAGGGAGAGACTCCTGCCGCTCTCCCTGTGTCCCTGTTACTCACAGTCATTGGTCTCAGGGGAGACCAAAGGAGCAAGAGTTCTCGATGGCTCTCGATGAAGCCACCTGTGCATGGCTCCCTGGGCCCGGAGACTAGGTCTAGCCCCCCATTCAGTGTTGGGTGAGAGGGCACAAAGAGCCATAATAACCGTAACTCGCTGATTACATGGTACTTACCGTATCATTTTGCTCTCATTAGATGGTTATTTCAGTCCTGCTGACCGCCAGATAATTATACGGGCAGCTCTATCTGGATGACATACTCTCCCCCAGCGTTATGCATCGGCCATAAAGATAATTACAGTGCAATTTTGCCATAGTATTTTATACAAATGGTGGAAACAAGTGCATTGTGGAAATCTACTTTTAATGCTCGCTGGTGAAGCCAGGCTCTTTCAGAGGGGCCAGTCGCATAATTGCAGCCTTCATAATCTCACCACTGATGGAGCATTCTCAACCTGTTAGGTGCCAGGGAGAACAGCACATAAAGTCCCTGAGGGCTGGCATTTAAAGGAGATTACATGAGATGGATCAACACAGATCATTGGGTCATCTTATTTCATTCATGTGAATCTGCTAACAAAGGAAGTGATCCCTGGGCCTGCGCTTCCTCTGGGAGGTTTCTGGAAAGAGGAGGAGGGCATGGGTGAGCCTGGGGAAGCATTAGCATCAGGGCACATTGAATGGGGCTATGTGTGTGCCTGACTCATGGAGATGCGAGGATGATAGGAACCCTGTCACTACATCCTCCTACATGGACCACAGACCTTGCCTATGAGTGTCTCTAAGTAGCATGGTAAACATGCAACCGGGAAGGGGCACTCTCCTGCAGGTAGAAGGGTTCAGTCCTCTAGTTCAAAGGCTACACAGAAAGCTGAGGGCTAAGACTTCTATTCTCTTTCTTCCTCCCTTACATACCGCCCCCCCCCACCCCGCTGACACACACATACCCCTGCTTCCCCAGCTGGTGGTTGGTGGGAGTTTTACGAGACAGAAGATGTGATTTCATTTTTTTTGGTCCTCAGCACTCTACTTCTGGATCATTGGGCTGCATCGTGAAGACACCTGTCACCCCTCCAACCCCCAGCTGCATGTGCTCCTATTCCCCTTTCTCTCCCCCATCCTTGTATCACTCTTGCACTTTGACTCCTTCCCCATCCCTCTACCCCACCGTGATGTAGAAGCTGCAGAGTGAGCATCCTCAGTCCCCTTGGGCACTGACTATAGATTCCCCTGGGGTTTCTGGAGTGTCCTCTGTTAAAAATAAGACGTCTCTTTCTACTCCTCAACAATAAAGGATTTTCACACACGACCTAGAGTGTTGTATTGGTTTGGTTGCTGGCGGGGTTGGGGGGGTTCTCTTCCTTGACTCTTCCAGCTACATCATACACACATACATGATATGTGCACATACATGTATCATATATCAATGGAAGCATCTTTATTTTGTACACATATTGATTTTCCCAATAGTGCCTTAGTCATATAATTGGTATTGGAAGATTTATTTAGTAATTTAAAAATAAATGAATGAATTTGGAAGATGGCTTCTAATACTCAAAGACTTTCACAGACTAGCTTCAGATAAAGGAAAAACCTATTCTGAATGGCTTGTCTGTATTTCGTGGATGAGCCTAGGAGACATCAATCCCTGAATCTGACTCTACTTAGAGAAGGGTGGGGGGTGGGAGGCAGGGCTGTGCAAGGACCCAGCCACAGATGAGGACAAATCTATAGAGCTGTACCATTTCTCTGTCTGCAAATGTCAAGTAGGGGTCCTCTAACAGGACATGGAACGAGATGGTGACCCATATACACTGTTTACGGTGTAGCAGTGCTGTGGACAAGCAAACACGACTTGGTCTTGCTAGGATGGGGCATGGATGGGGAAGTTACTGCAGAGACCAAGAAGGGAGCAAGTATCTTCAGTGTTAACTGGCCATCTTAGTTATATTAAAGGGAAAACATTTGTTTCAGATTCCTCTACAATGTAACTCATACTAGGTCTAGCAGTCCACAGAATATGTAAGACACTGAAATGAGATGTGTGAGTGTCTTTTATTTATCTGATGTGCCAACTATCATAGCCCAGGGATCCCAAGGGGTGTTCTGTATCCTAAGGGAACAGCCTGGGAAATCTTCAGATTCCTTTGTTTAGCCTCGTGCAGAGCCTGGCCATGCCCCTGAACTGCCCTGATTCAATGTCAACATTCCACTCTCCCAGTGCAGTGTAGAGACAGCACCATGGAGCCAGAGGTGGCTTCCTACAGGTCCTTCACCCCAGTGAAAGTTCTCTCTTCCCAGAACGTGCATGGGGCAACTTTGGACCCACAGCTGTACAGTGGGGATGGGGGAGGAGAGAAAGCTCAACTCAGTGTCCCTTGGGTCAGGGTTATTGCTAGAGGTCAAAGAATGTTCTTACCCGAGCCTCAAGCCTTTCTTCAGTGAGTCATCACATTGGCTTTTCAAAATTATCCATCTAGAGGGTTTTAAAGTGGGGTAACTTTTGCAGAGTCTAGGGAATTTATTTGGGTCATGAAAGCTTCAAGAGTTGGTTCTGCTCAGACTTGGGAGATGGGTCTGTGGGCTGAGATGACTCAAGTGCTTTGCCAAGTAGGAGCATAAATGCAGAAAGGTTGCTCTCTGGTGGGACCGACAAAAATTGCAGTCCTGGGGCTTCCAGGAAAAATTAAGTCAAATTTTAAGCCGCATTCCTGTTTTTGTACTTGAAGAATGTGTCAAGGAATCCTGGCTCTCCTCTTCGTGTTGTAAAGAGGTTGGTGCCTAAGGAGACCTGGCCAACAAGACCTTGACCGAATTTCTGGCCCTTCTCCATTTAGCTTTGTGTGTGTGTGTGTGTGTGTTACTGGGATTGCATGGCGTTTTACTTTATTTATTTAAAATATTTTATTTATTTATTTGAGAGAGAGAGAGAGAGCACACGTGTGCACGTGCACACAAGAGGAAGAGGGAGAGGGAGAAGCAGACCTCCTGTTGAGCAAGGAGCAGGATGTGAAGGCACCTGAGACCAGGACCTGAGCCAAAGTCAGACAACTGAGCCACCCAGGAGCCCTGCATGGTGATTTACTTTAAAAAGATTTCAGTCTTCACAGCCTGTACCCCTGAAACAAATAATACATTATATGTTAATAATAATAAAAAAAAGACTTCAGTCTTAGAGGTTCTAGACGAATTGTAATGTGTGTGGAAGGGTGGTTTGGCCACGCCAAGAAGCAATGCCGTTACCCTATCTCCCCAGAGATTAGATCAGACTCCACAGGGTAAGGGCTCAGTCCTGCAAGACTGCCCCTCACACTTCAGATGCCACTTCAAGTCCGGGTTGTTCCCCGTACTTCTGATCGGCTACAGAGTGGAGGTTCCCATGACTCCCCCCTTAGGTTTGATGAATTCGCTAGAGTGGCTCACAGAACTCAGGAAACCTGTTTACTTACTAAATTGCCAGTTTATTATAAAAGGACACAACTCCAGAACAGGCAGATGGAAGGGATGCATAGGGCAAGGCACAGGCAAAGGGGCGTGGAGCTTCCACGCTCTCTCTGAGTGCACCACTCTCCTCTCCCCGACCCCGCATGTGTTCATCAACCCAGAAAACTCTCGGAACCCCGTCCTTTTGGCTTTTTATGGAGGCTTCATGACATAGTTGTGATTGATTACATCACTGGCCATTGGCAATTGATTCAACCTCCAGCCCCCATCCTTACGTGCTGCCCCAAAGCCGCCCAATAACATAATGAAGGACACCTTTATGATATTCATCACTTAGGATGTTTCAATAGTTTTAGCAGCTCTTTGCCAGAAACGGGGATGAAGACC